CTAATTGTCTTTTCACTCTGAGGAATATCTCTGAGAAATATCTTCTCTTTTATCTCTCCATTGCTAAAGTAACAATGTATTAGACTACAGACAAGAAATGTGACAGGCAGCAAAAAAAATTGTTATTATGCAAGCCAAAATTGAATTTTTTTAAAATAATTGACAAAATAATAATGGTTGCAAAATGGAATGGATTGTAGGATTTCAGATGATCCTCTTTTATTCTGCAAATAATCAGCATGCATGTTTGATTATAATCAGTATAATAAAAACCTTTATGGTAATTTCATTTAAAGCATGGAGGTGTCATTTCCACCCAGGCTTGTTTGTAAAAAATGGTTCTGGAAGAAAAGCATATGGGATGTTAATGCTCCTAAATGCATTCAAGTCATAAATCATATTAAAGCTGCCTCCTATCATGAATATTCAATCAATAAAAATTGACCCAGCATTTTCCACTTGCAAGTCAGTCATGATGGTAATTTATTTACTAAGAAGACTGATTAGCAATAGGTTTTACACAAATTGGAAAACCTTAATAACCAAAAAGAATAAGAAAGTTTCATCATCTCTTTTTTAAAGAGAAGAACAGAGTTGGAAGGGATTTGGAAGGTCTTCTAGTCCAACCCCCTGCTCAAGCAGGAGACCCTATATCAGACATATCAAACTCGCAACATCACGTGACGTCGTGCAACGTATTGGAGTTTTTTCGCCATTGCCGGCAATGGGTGGGCGTGGTTTTCCGATGACGCGTCTGGCCCACGGGCTGGCAGTTTGGCATCCCTGCCCTATATCGTTCCAGACAAGTGGCTGTCCAGTCTTTTCTTAAAAGCTTCCAGTGATAGAGCACCCACAATGTCTGAAGGCAAACCATTCCACTGGTTAATTGTTCTCACTGTTGTGAAATTTTTCCTTAGTTCTGGATTGATTTTCTCCCTGATTAGTTTCCATCCATTGTTTGTCTTGCCTTCTGGTGCTTTGGAAAATAGGTTGACCCCTTCTTTTAATGACAGAACTTTTGTAAACTTTATATAGAGATAACTCAGTGCAGATTAAATAAAATTAACATAGTAGCAGCCACTGAGAACATTCTATATGCATTGATCTTACATTTAGAATTTTATTTATGAAAAGCAAAATAAAATCCAATAATAGTATCAGGATCCAATAGCTAAGTGACACTTATTTCCATTTGTAAAAGTGGGATGTAAAATTATTATCCAACTTAAAATAAGCTGAAAATCCAGAGTTACTAATGCTATACCATGCAAAACTGGCAAAATTTTATGATTTGGCTATTATGTTATACCAGTGTTTCCCAAACTTGACAATTTTAAGGCATAAGGACTTCAACTCCCAGAATTCCACAGCCAGCAATGCTGGCTGTGGAATTCTGGGAGTTGAAGTCCACATGCCTTAAAATTGTCAAGTTTGGGAAACACTGTGTTATACTATAATATGATCTATTTGTCTGGACATAACATGTGATGGGAATACAGTAATCTGATTTTGTAAACTTTGTAAACTTAGATATACAATGTAACAATTTGGATAACCTGAGTCATGCCTCAATTTTCTCCAAGCTCTCATTTCAGATCCACTTTAAAAATAAAAGTAAAGCAAGTTTTTTCCCCCCATGCTACTAGATTTGGATTTACTACTTGTAGAAGTCATAAGGAACAAACGAGGGCAATTCGTAAATAAACCTCCATTTGGTTATCATGACAGACACTCACAGATACAGAACTTTTATTATACACATTAGAAAATTACATTACATTACTTTTTGACATAATTGCCATTCAAATTGAGGCACTTGTCATAATGTCTTACAAGGTTTGAAATTCCTCAGTAGTAGTTGCTCGGCGCCAAATCTGGGCTATGGGGGGTGATCAAAAACATCCCAAAGGAACTGCTTCAAAAGTTTTTGGGTGTGTCTAGCAGTGTGCGGGTGAACATTATCATGAACCAAGTGGTACCATAGAAAATCCTGCCAAATGTGAAGATGCCGAAGGAATATTGCTAGTGAAGTTCATGACACCATTCATAACAAGCGTCAGGGCATGCTGACTTCTGATGTGTTGGTTCACGATAATGCTTACCTGCACACCACTAGATGCACCTAAGAACTTTTGAAGCAGTTCTGTTGGGATGTTTTTGATCACACACCCCCATAGCCCAGATTTGGTGCCAAGTGACTACTACTAAGGAATTTCAAATCTTTTAAGATGGTATGACAAGTGCCTCAATTTGAATGGCAATTATGTCAAAAAGTAATGTGATTTTGTAGTTTTCTAAGGTATATAATAAAAATTCTATACCTGCAAGTGTCTTATCATTGATAACCAAATGGAGATTTATTTCAGAATTGTCCTGGTAAAATATTACAAGTTATTGCAAAAACTTCCTTTTTAAAATAGAGAAAGAGCTTGTCATTATTACAGATTGTTACATAGTCAGCCAGATGTTTAGACTGGATTTGGCTTTTTGTTCCCCTTATCAAATCCTTTTCAGGGACCTGGGATAGACAGATGTTGTTCTTAAGGTTGTTATAGGCATTGTTGCAGAATGTAAGCTGTTCTAAAGTAAAGGTGCCTTTTGTAGTTGACTGATGATGGTTTTGTTAATGTTGATGGTGTTCAGATGGTGCTCCAGGTGATTTAGGATTGTGTCCAAAGAACCTATTACTATGGTGCCACTTTTGCCACAATAATTCTACTTCTAGTTGCAGGTCTTTATGTTTTGTGATTTTCTCCAGCTGTCTCCAGGCACTGTCACATCCACTATCCAAACTTTTTGTCTTTTTTATCAGCAATTGTTAAGTCTAGGGCAGACATGTCAAACTCATAACATCATGTGACATCGTGTGACGTATCGTGACTTTTTCCCCATTGCCGGCAATGGAGTGGGAGCGGTTTCAGCGTGACGCATCCAGCCCAGGGGCCAGCAATTTGACATGCCTGGTTTAGGGTATTATGGGGCAGGTGCTTGTGTCTTTGAATTCAAAAGTCTCAGAGCACTTTACCCTCCTCATTTTCTATGACTTTCTCTATTTTATGGTTCCATCATTTCTTGCTTGCAGACAAATGGTATTTCTGGCAGATTTTCCAAAGCACCATTGTTGCTACTTTGTCATACCATGGTTTGTATCTGTAGTCTGTGCAACCTTGTTGCTGCAGCTAACCAGATGATCCTCTGTTTCTTCAGATTTTTTGCAGAGGCAGCATTTGCTGTCTGTTGCTGTCTTCTTGATTCTGGTTTTGTATGCATTTGTTCTTAAGGTTTGATCTTGTGCAATCACAATTAGCCACCTGTCTCTCTCTTCAACTTTTTCTGCTCTTAGCCATTGCCAGGTCTTGTATATTATCTGCTTTGCCTGTATTTTTTTTAAATATAATTTATCATACGAAATTTCATGATGCTGAAATTAAATTCCAATAATAATGTTTTATGAAAATCTCATAACAAAAGATTTTTTAAAGAAAAACTTGCAAACTCAGACAAAGGTTATCCAGGTTAAAAAAACACATGTGTTTTAATTTCTCTCTGCAAAGGTAACAATTGGTGCCAAGTAGCCAAAGTAAATTTCAACTACAAGGAAAATATCTCCCTTATACTATCTAGTGCACTTCTGACAAAAACAGGTTTTGCTGCAGAATGTAGCCTGTATAGCTTGCCTTTTTTAAAGAGGTGCTTTGTTTGGCAGTTATTTCATTTTTGCAGGATATGTTGCTCTTGGTTGTAGTTTTTTAAACATATAAATAAACTGAACCAGGAATCCAAATATGTTGTTTGAAATGCTAAGAAACTGGTTGATAGAGAAAAGGAATAACATTTTTTATTAAATTAAATAAATTAAATTATCTACTTTTGTAAACACTTAAAGCGTTCCATATTTACTTTTATTGCCTGAAGCTTGCTAAATATGCTTCCATTCTTTCCTAGGTGTTATCCATTTAAAATTTTATTTGAGCTGCATTGCAGCTTTCACAAGGTACATGTTTGAAGCAGACAATGCCCAATTTATTCCCTATCATTCACATGTTGTATTCAGAAAACTGATTTTTCCTCACTCTGTGTGCGTGTTTAAAAAATACACATTGGAAACATTTTGAAACTGCCCAGCAAGTATAATAAGCTTATAAATTTAATCTAAGGTGACCATCTGCCATAACTGCTTGTAAATCTAACAAACAAGATGGTTGCAAAACAGCTTTAAAAGTTAATGATAACCAGATGTGTCCTCCCTTTTCTTGTCCTTCAAGTCCCCAAAGGAACAGGTAAAAACTGATGAAATAAACCAATTCCCTAGTGGCAGATGAATCCTTAAGATCAAAAACATATTTTCCTGAAATCAGTGAATAAGTATTTTTTCATAACAAACTTCAGCCTTTCAGGAGCATCTAATATTTACAAGAAGCCAATTTCGCCAAATTGAAGAAGATGCACAATTTAGGAGGTTGTGATTTTGTGATGGTTACATATGTTTGAACTTTAATTATCAAATACAATAAAATTATCAAATTTATAATTATCAAAATTATCAAATACAAATAAAATAGTGTGTAAAAAAATAATAGTTTCAAGTTTGTTTGCCACTGGCTCTGCTTATACCTTATGCAGTTTTTTAAATGCATTTGATATCACTCTACAAATTACCAATTTATTGTGGTTTTGTAGCCATTTTTCCATACAGTACTAATTCTAGCAAAACTCAGTCTTAAATAAATCTTTTCTGTATCAACAGTTAAAAGAAAGAAGTTTTCCATATAGCTCAAGTAACTACACCAACCAGCTAATTACAATCTTCTTTATCAATAATATAAATATTTACATTATCAAAGTTGCTTCCAAAATTATCAATTTGTTGAAGTAATATATTAAGGGAACTCTTAAGTATTCCCCAAACACAGTCTTGGAAATGAAGATGAGGATGAGAACTTTAATCAGATGGAAGCCCAGATCAGCGTATCAAGGTAATTATAATTTAGAAGCTGACCAGCAGAAGTGATGTGTGGAGAATGTGTCAGCAAAGTATTTGGGAGGTAGTATCCCTTTAAGAGACTGTCTGAGGGAAATGACTTGAACCGTTTGTACATAACTGACTGCCTTGTAGTCCATATGCTCCCTGAATGTTGTTGTTTCATGTTGTATATTAAACCACAGTTCTTTTGATAAACCACTGTCAGATGTTTGTGATCCTGTGTTGCACAAGAAGAAAACAAATAAAAGGCTGCAATAATTTATATTTATCAACAACACAGAGGAGACAAGGAGAAGCTGAAGAGTTTGTCCATGTGCACTCTAGAAGGCAGTCAAGTTCTATGAACTAAGGGGGGAAAAATCAAGCTTGCAGCCTCGGTGAAGCTTGTTAATGGACACTGAGTGACCAAACTCCACTTTCTTAACTATCTTATTTAAACATTTTAGAGATCTTTGGAATTGCAGTGAAAATTGACTATCTGGTGATTATTCCTACAACATGGGCCATGATTAAAAGGAAAGAGAAAAGGAAAAAAAGTGTAAGAATTTAAAAACAATCTACAGTAAAAAGGTAGGTAAGAATTTGGCAATTGAATGGAGTGAATAGTGAAGATGGTAGAAATTGCTGAAATTGACTCATTTAAGGAGGGAACAACAAATACTTTTATAAAAGACTGGAAATGATGACAGGATTAGAAACACCAGGAATTAAGATAGTGGAGATTGGCTGTTCTGTAAATTGACACAGCAATTTGCATTCTATTTTCTGAAAGGGTTAGAATGATGCAAGTTTTCAAAGTAATTGATTTCATTTGAATCAATTCATTCTTGGAAAGTTTTGGTAAAATAAATGTGTAATTTAAGCAATTGTCCTTTTACCTTCAAAATAATAACAGCATATTCGGCTTAGACTTTGTAAAATAATAGCTTTATATTAAAATATAAAGCCAAAGGGAAAATTAATTGCAAGAGGCATATTCTTACATGGGTAGATAAATTCAGGACAATCTCAATAGATATTTTTTTAAACAAATAATGAAATATAAGTATTGGGAAAGGAGCAGCAATGCATAAGAATGGGGAAAAGAATTTTATAGTTGATGTTTTAGAAAAATCACCAATTGCATTCTTTGTCTTATATCATCTCTTATCTAACGTCAATGACATTATACTACTACATTACTTTGGAGATGCCTGCTTTCAGAAGCCCTACGTTTAATGTTCAACCACCAGAAAGAATGCTTCTTTCCATACCAACTTGTTCATATTTTAAGATTTTCCACAGAGATATTTCTTCATGTTATATAATCACATGTAAAATAGAGAATCTAATTTTAGAATGAAAACTTAATTTGGAATGGCAGCTCTAAAGAGGTTTATTTATTATAAAATTAAAAATTCATACCAGTACCAGTTAACACTTCTCTTTGGAAAGAATATAAAATGTGTTTTGCTTTGTTTTATTTTTAAGAGATAGTTTATTGGAGACAGAAAGAGGTTTGGCTTTAATGTACAATGGTTTATACGTACATAGTGAAAGACAAAGTATTTAAAATAGTAACAAAGCTGATGCAGGCAATAAACTATTCTATTTTCATAGTTAGAAAAGCAGGAAGCCTAATATCAGGTAAATGAAGGAAGATGATTTCCTAAAATTTCTGGTATTTATCTTGCCAAATCTATAATATACTGTAACTAGTGATAAAAATTATTTAAAGAATACAGCAAGAACATTCTTTTCTTGGGTGTTCACTTATAGATCTGCAAAAAGAAGGGACAGATGGAATTTCCAGGGAAGAAATGGCAAACTGAGAATGGAACCAACAACTGTGATGGAATAAAGAATCTGACTGACAAGCTGACATCATGACTATTCTACAAAAAAGAGGATAGGGACCACTCACAAGTGTTCCAGGCAGCTGCTACTCATGAGAAGAGCAGAAAATAATATTTTCCAATGGGTTTAGAGTGCTGAGAGATGGGGGAGGAACCATTATAGCCCAAACTACAGTTCAACAATTTTAAAAAGGACACAAGGTTCACATACAGGCAGTCTTTGACTTATAGCCACAGTGGAGCTCAGAATTTCTATCCTACGTTACTGTGGTCTTAATTCAAGACACCATGTGAACAGATTCAGTTTTGCAACTGTTTTTAAGACCATCATACAGCAAAAAGCTGCAATCATTAAATAAATCCAATCTCCTGAATAGGCCAAAACCCAGCAAAACATGCTAGAAACTAGTAAAAAAAAAACATAACAAACCATGGTCATGTGACTGTGATAGGTGCAGTCTGCTTGCCAAGCATCCAAAATGTAATCACATGACTATGTAAGTAGCTTCTTTTAAAGTCCATCATAACTGAACAGTAATTAAATTTCCTTCTTCTAACCTTTTTGACTTCGATGTTGTCAACGTGAAAGAAGTCCAAGTATTTATAGCAATCATCTTCATCCAGATCTTAATGTTATTTTCATAGGGCATCTTGATTCCTTCAATTTTCACTATTTTTTTCTTTTTTTAATGGTGAAGGTGTTATGTCCCGAGCCTTCCAAACGGGCTCGGGGCGTTTGTAGGCAGTCCCGGGCAGGTGCAAGCTGCCCGGGACCAGACAGGCTGTCGCCAGCGCCTGTGCGCATGCGCGGGTGCTGGCGCGGGAAAAGTAACACATTGACCCGGGAATTGCCTATATAAGAGGCTGGGAGCTTTTGGGCGTTGCTGAAGCCTTCACCTGTAAGCTGAACACAGAATAAAAGAAAACCTGAGAACTACAACTGCTTCTCGTGTCTGCTTTTCGCCAAGGACTCAACACTGGCGACGAGGGTGGGATGCCTTACATCGCCTGGAAAGGAAGAGGTGTAAGCTTACCCAAGTGAGTCCTGAACGGCGGAACGGCATTGACTTGGCAGCTACCCGCCAATCCAGTGCGCATTCGGGGGTAGGCTGGCTGATAGACCCGTCTCCTGAAAATGGCAAAGGTTGGAAGGCTTTCGGAGTTCGACGTCTCACATCCAGAGCGGTGGGAGTCCTACGTAGCCAGGGTGGAAAACTACCTCAAGGTGAACCAAGTGAGGGAAGATAGCTTGAAGGCTGCCACCCTGCTTTGTGTCTGCGGTCAAGACGCCTGAAATCGCAGAGAACCTTGCAGCACGTGTCCCATTAGAGTCTGTCAGCTACGCAGATCTAAAGAAGCTATTGAAGGAGCACTTCCAGCCCAAGATGTCCGTCATCACATTGCGCCACACCTTCGAGCAGAGGGATCAATGATCCGGAGAGTCGGCCAAAGAATATATCGCCGCATTGAGGAAGGCCGCCAAGCACTGCGAGTTCAAGGACCTCGAAGAACGACTGAGGGACCGATTCGTGTGTGGCTTAAGGCATCGAGATCTACAACAGAGGCTTTTCGCCAAAGAAGACTTGTCCTTCCAAGATGCCTTAAGAGAGGTCACCGCAGAAGAAGCAGCAGGCGGCGCCGTCAAAAACATGCGGCCGATCAGGAACAGTCCAGATGTTGCATCCGTGCACCAAGAGGACATCCAAGGGAACTCCGAGGAGGATCTGGACGAGGAAGTCGACTGTCTCCACCCCACGAAGGAAGGGAATCAGAAAGGAAGCTCTGCAGCTCCCCTCAAGTGCATCGGCTGTGGAGGTCGCCACAGGAGAACCGACTGCAAGTTCCGCTCCGCTATCTGCCGGGCATGTGGGAAACAAGGACATATTGCAGCTGTGTGTCTGGGCCGATGAAAGGTACAACCTCAGGAAGAACTGCGCCTGAAAGGTACCAGGGCCCCCAGCCAGAATAGGGTAGGTTTTTGCGCTTCGCGAAGAAGCATCTTCAGGCACACACAAGCCCATCAAGAAAAAGCTGTCACTCAAGGTGAAGCTACAAGGGGTTCCATTAACTATGGAACTAGACACGGGGTCTGCCCTTTCAATCATATCCTTACATACATTTAGGAAGATTTGTTCCGGCAGTGGAACTCAGGCTAAATTAAGGCTTTCTGACATTGTGTTAACAGACTTTCAAAATTTGAGAGTGTGTGTTAAGGGGGAGGCCACCCTTAACGTACAGTATAAGAATTTTGAAGGTCCACTAGACCTATTAGTAGTAGGGGGTGAACGAACGAGTCTCATAGGACTCGATTGGTTTGAAGCCTTGGGGATACACGTCACGGGGCTCAACAGCTTACAAACACTCGACCTACAGGAAGTCTGCAAAGAATTTGCAGATGTCTTCAGCCCCCAGCTGGGCACATTCAAGGGACCCCCTGTGTCCTTAAAACTAGACCCCACTGTCACTCCCATTAGAATTAAAGCAAGAAGGGTCCCTTTTGCTTTAAAGAGTAAAATTGACACTGAGTTAGACAAACTGATCCAACAGGGAATCCTAGAACCTGTTGATTCCAGCCCTTGGGAGACCCCCATTGTCACGCCTCTAAAGGCAAATGGGGACATTCGCATTTGTGCTGACTACAAATGCACTCTTAATAAGGCATTGCAGCAACATGCCTATCCTGTTCCTGTGGTCAGTCATATTCTGGCCTCCCTCAAGGGGGGGGCGCGTTTTTGCAAAGCTTGACCTAGCTCAAGCGTATCAACAGCTGCCTGTTGATGATGATGCTGCTATAGCTCAGACTATTGTGACCCACAGGGGAGCCTTTAAGGTAAAAAGGCTACAGTTTGGAGTGAATGTCGCTCCTGGGATTTTCCAAAGCGTAATGGAAAACACACTACGGGGCATACCGGGGGTTTGCCCCTACTTTGATGATGTCTTAATTGCAGGAGACTCCACACACATTCTAGCTGAAAGGCTAAGGGCTGTTCTGTTAAGGTTCAGGAAAACAGGCCTCAAGCTCAAAAAAGACAAATGCAAAATTGGGGTGCCTTCTACTGAATTTCTGGGGTTCAAAATTGATGCTGCTGGGATTCACCTGCTGAATCCAAACTAACTGCCATTTTAGAAGCACCTAGGCCAAAGTCTAAGGCCGAACTTCAGGCCTTTCTGGGCCTCCTGAATTTCTACAATTCCTTTCTTCCACATAAAGCTAGTGTAGCTGAGCCTCTTCACAGGCTATTAGACAAACAAGCAGTGTGGCAGTGGTCACAAACACATGAGGCTAGTTTCAATGAGGTCAAGGCCTTACTCACTTCTAACAGTGTACTTGCACACTTCAATGAGTCCCTTCCTGTGTGCATCGCTTGTGATGCTTCCCCTTACGGGGTAGGAGCCGTCCTGAGCCACCTCAGGTCTGATGGAACTCAGGTTCCTGTTGCATATTACTCCAGAACACTGTCTTCTGCTGAGCGCAACTACGCTCAGATAGACAGGGAGGCTCTGGCTGTTGTTGCTGGAATTAAAAAATTCCATGATTTCTTGTATGGCAGGCATTTCACGGTCTTCACTGACCATAAGCCTCTGCTGGGACTGTTTACCACACGTAAACAAACTCCCCAAATCATTTCCCCTAGAATGCTTAGGTGGTCTATTTTTCTGTCTGCATATGATTTTTCCTTACTCCACAAGCCTGGGAAAGAAATGGGCCATGCTGATGGCCTCAGTAGATTGCCCCTGCCAGTAGTAGAAGCTGACCCTGCGCCAGCTGTCAACATTCTATCCATCCAAGCCTTGCCCGAGTCCCCTCTGAATGCCAGGGATGTCGCCGCTGAAACAGGCACAGATCACACACTTTCACGTGTCCTTTCTTGGGTTTTGTCTGGATGGCCTGAGCACTGCCCTAGTCCTGAGTTTCAGAGTTTCTGGTCCAAAAGGAACGAGTTGTCCACTTCTCAGGGTTGTCTGCTTTGGGGAAACAGAGTTGTCATTCCCACCTCAATGAGGACTAGGATCTTAGAGTCCCTCCACGAGGGTCATCCTGGCATTGTTCGCATGAAGGCCCTTGCGCGCAGCCACTTGTGGTGGCCTGGTTTAGATAAGGACATTGAGGCTAAGGTGCATGCATGCCACCTGTGCCAGCGCTCTCGCCCAGAGATGCCCCAAGCTCCTGTGCATAGATGGGAGGATACACAGTCCCCATGGTCTAGGGTGCACATTGACTACGCTGGGCCCTTTCAGGGCCAGTTCTTCTTGGTCCTCGTTGACAGTCATTCAAAATGGCTTGAGGTTGTACCTGTCTCATCCACCACCACTGCAAAGACTATTCAGGTACTGAGGGGGATTTTTGCTGCACACGGGCTCCCAGATGTCATCGTGTCTGACAACGGCCCTCAATTTACTTCCTCCGAATTCCAAGCTTTCTTACAGGCTAACATGATTCGTCATGCCACGTCTGCACCCTTCCACCCGTCCACCAACGGTATGGCTGAACGCATGGTCCGCATCACAAAGGACGCCTTGAAAAGACTCACCTATGGGGACTGGCATCACAGGTTGGCTGACTTTCTCCTTTCTTACCGCACCACACCGTCCACTTCTACAGGGAGAAGCCCAGCTGAACTTCGCTGGGGGCGCAAACTTACTACGAAGCTTGACCGGTTGCATCCGGACAGACTGCCTTCATCTACCTCACATCCTAGGGCACCTAGACAACTACTTGTGGGTGCCCCGGTTTGGACTCGCAATTACGGGCCTGGTCATACATGGGTCCCCGCTTCTATTTCCAGGGTCACAGGTCCTCTATCCTACGAGGTAGCCCTGGACAACGGTCGTGTCCTGCGTCGGCACATCGACCAACTCCGCCCTAGGCGGGATCTTTCAGATGACACTCCTGGGTCTTTTCCAGGGGGGGAGGGGGACCCTTTAGAGCAAAGGGAGGGGCACGAGCTGCTGCCCACCTCCAACGATGGAGCCACAAACGGCCCATTCCAAGATTCCGCGAGTGCCCCAAACAGGAATTCTAAGAGCCTATCCAACTACCAGGCATTCACGCCTACTCCAGCCAGGGAGTCACCCCGGGGGTACAATCACTATTCACCTGCACAGCACAGTACTCCAGTCAGGGAGGATACCCGGGAGCATCCCAATAAATCATACCCCGCAAGAGAGCTGGCACATAATCCCCAGAGTTGGCCTGACCTTACCCCAAGTCCTACAGGGGGTCAAACATACAGGGAGGTGGTCGAGGAACCAAGTCCCGACCGCAACACCTCTAGCCCAAATCAGGGAGTAACTGAGTTTTGGGAAGGTACAGAAACCCACACGAGCCCGGACACAGAATGGAGTTTAGGGAATGGACAGCCTCCTGACAGGTCTTGGACGGACCTAGGAGGTTCTACAGAGACTCCCAGCAGTGGCTATCACTTCAAGGGGCCCAAGGACCTACAGCTAGGCAGGTCAACCAGGTCACAAAGTGACAGAAGCCCTAGCCTGACGAGCCCGGTGGGCGAGCCAGCAGGCCAGGCATTGGGGCACAGTCCTTGGAAGGCACCAAGGC